ACACAAAACGACGTACCTGGTCCATTGCGGTCAGAAGTATCGACAAACGGCGGCAAGTTCACGCCTTCAAACGCGGAAGGCGGCCGCTTCTCCACGAGTGCCCCTCCCATCTCAGTGAGCTTCTCCAACTGCTGACCGTTGGCGTGAGCGCGGATCAAGGTCTGGTCGTCAGGGTACCTCATTACAGGTTTCCGTCTCCTTCCAAGGTTTTGTTCCTGTTCGACAACCCTCTTGCCATCATTTCCCGGCGTCGGTACTACAACTTCTCTCTCTCTATGTCTTACTTCGGTTTGACGAAAAAGTTCCTTGTTCTGCTCCGAACGAGGGAATTTTTCCCGAGACTGCGAGCCAATATTGGGTCTAATGACAATTTCAGTGAGGGCGTAGAGCATCCATAGAACAGGCAAGAATAACAGACTGCGCTTGAGCAGGCGGTAAAGCGTGGAGCGCCTCATGTTGATTTCTTTGATCACTAATCTGATGGGCTGGGGAAATGAATACAACAGCGGGGCGCGTCAGAAGATCAGTTGCTCTGCAGTGTTACAATATTAATATTATTTATTTTATGCCCTTTTTTCCACACTGGAGTTGAAAGCTGTGGAGTTTCAAATTTGTTTAGTTTTTGTGTTGTGTATTTTATTGATGCTTGACTTATTTGGGTCCTTCCTTGGTTGATAGATGGGAATTTGATTTTAATTACATTTTACAAAATATGTAGGTATGTGTACCATTAATTGGTCGCCGGATAAAATGGCCCCAGACTGACAGAGCTAAGGTTTTCTTTGGAATTACTGAGATTAACCTTTAGAAAAGATGGAAACCCACTGTTTTGTACTTTATAGTTCAATGTTTACCTGGTCTCTAGCAAAGCAAATAAAAAGGGGCAAAATCTTACCTAGTTATTGTCCAACTCTCTACGAACTATTATTTCGATATATTTATTTGTCTGCCTGAAAAGAAAAACATCTCAATCCTGGCCCATCCATATTGATAAAGCCCACTCCCCTCTCTCCCTCTCTAAGATTAGATACCTAAAAGCACTTTTCCTTTCCTGTTTGAGTTAAGAGCTCTCTCTCTCTCTCTCTTAAATTTCACTTTGATGTTGAGTAAAACTCTTGAAAATAAGTCTTTGGTGGTCCATAGCTCTCTACTCTGCTACCCTGCCACGTCATACAAACTCCAATAAACGCTTTTGTTTTATTTCAGTTATAGGTTGATTTTTTTTTTACTTGCGCTTTTCAGAATAACAGTAAATGTGATATGTTCCGACCATAAAGATTGAAAATAACTGAAACACAATCCAACCAAAGGAAGCAGACAGTTAGAAATTGTGCACAGTCATTCAGAAGCTGACTTGAATCCAGGGACAATGTTGTCATTTAATGTTTTAGAGGAGTCAGTTGCCACAATGGTTAAGTTATGATGTTAATATGTGTATAGCTTAATGGGTATAGTAAAAATTGTTAGCGACACCATCATTCTTCCTTCTCCTACCAGTAGATTTCGTTCTGAATACTTGTAAATAAACATTTCTCTCAGAAAGTCTTGCTTGTTAGGCCCTCTTGATCTTTTTCTGCCCCCTTTCTGTTCCGAATTCGAGACAAATTTCATTAGAAAAGTTGGATGCTGATCTGCACCTATAATGTGAAGATTGGACAACAAATGGTGGAGATATTCAAAAAGGTATATAGAAAAACCGAGTTTTGAGAAAACGGGCGAAAAAGAAAAATGAAAGATTTACTTTATAACGAAATAGGGGTGACTAACATGCCAGGTGTGTGAAAAAAAATAAGACTTTAGGGGTTTTCAGGGGGTGGAATAGTTGTAAGAGAGGCTGAAGAAACTAAAAATGCCTACAACTCAAAATCCATAATTTTGACACGAATTGGAACTTTCAGGATGAGAAAAATGCTCAAAACTAATAGGAATTAATTTCGTCTACTCAAGGTGGCCAAACCACTATAAAGACTTTTTTAGACTTGATACGATGAATTTTTAATCTACGTACGGGCATTCCTGTTTTTCTTCTGTTACAGTGTTGGAACCTCCGGCTTTATTTGTTTACATTGAAATTTGCAAGGTCAGAATAGTTATTGCTGACTGTGTACTGAAGGAGTAAAAACAAACTCTCTTTCTCTCTCTCTCTCTCTCTCTCTCTCT